TCCAACAGGTCCATGTCCTTCTTGTGTTGGGGGCCCCAGGGCTGAAGGCAGTACTGCGGGGTGGGGGGTCTCACCAGAGCGGAGCAGAGGGGCAGAATCCCCTCCCTCGACCTGCTGGTGATGCAGATCAGGACACGGTTGGCTTTCTGGGCTGCAGGTGCACGTGGCTGGGTCATGTTGAGCTTCTCATCAACCAACACCCCCAAGTCCTTCTCAGGGCTGCTCTCAATCCATTCTCCGCCCAGCCTGTATTTTTGCTTGGGATTGCCCCGACCCATGTGCAGGACCTTGCACTTGGCCTTGTTGAACTTCATGAGGTTCACATGGGCCCACCTCTCAAGCCTGTCCAGATCCCTCTGGATGGCATCCCTTCCCTCCACCGTGTCAACTGCACCTCACGGCTTGGAGTCATGGGCAAACTTGCGGAGGGTGCACTCGATCCCACTGTCCATGTTGCTGACAAAGATGTTAAACAGCACGGGTCCCAATACCAACCCCTGAGGAACGCGGGGTTTCTGTAGTTCTCCCTCCGACGTTGACATTGCTGTCTTTTCAGCATGAGATGTTATGGTCAGTCACTCTCAGCCCCAGCAGCTCCTGAACTGTCATCTGTGTAGACATCCCACCACTGCATTGGTTGTGTGTATCCTTCCTCTGCTGATCCAGCTGGGGATGCATTAAGGGGCAACGTGTGTTGTAGCTGGAGAGCTGGAAATGCGGTCATCTACTTCTGCCTGTTCTGGACAAAATTTGTTTGGCAAGTCTGGTAAAATACAGCTCTGATCTTCACTGTCCAACTGTGGCTTTTGGCTTAAGGGTGCATGGATTGCCCTCATCAGTGTGCACGCTTGGGGAAGCATCTCACAAGTGTCCCATAAAGGGAAAAATTCTCAAGGGCTTAGAAAAATGCAATTGATACCTTGAATCTCCTGATGTGAATTTTGAGTTTAGTCTTACTCGTCTAGTGAATACTCTCGCGCTCGATAGCGCACCAGGAGCAAGTGGAAAGAGCTTGGGAAAGAGCCAGGCTCTTTCCAGGCATCTGCCATGCACGCTCCTTTCCTTCTTGCTTGGATTCCTCTAGTAAAGCCCAGTTGTGCAAGGGTTGGGATCAAAGGCCTCAGACGCCTAACTGGATTCATCCAAGTTTTGTCTAAAGGCTTAGATGCAATGAAAACCAGAGTATTTGCTTTTATTCATGAGTATTATTAAGCATGTTAGACAAGCATACGCTTAAGAATGCCTGTTACAGTGTGGGAAAAACAGCAAGTGAAGCTTTGATAAAGTTGCAGCATTGGGAAATCTGCTTGCTGCCTCCCTCTTTCTTCGCCTCTTCAAACGTTTTGCAAATAGTTTTCAGACGACCGTTTGATCTTAAATTTGCGTGTCGGCAAAGGCTCTGCAGTTCTCCCGGGAATTAGCAAATCGTAGAACAGGGTTAACAGGAGTGTACTGTGGGCTGCTTTTGAATTCCTCGCTTGCGTGAGCCTCAAAACTGCCCTGGAAATTTCTTGCTAAAAAGTTTATCTCAAAAAGACCTGGAGCTATTTCAGGCTCGTTGTTTCTTTTTTAGATTACCTATTTAGATGCATTTGTTTGATGTCAGCTGTTAAATTTTATCCAAAGAAACATCTGTGGGGAATCAAAGTAGATTGAAAATTTGAGTATCGTTTATGCCAGAAGACATTCTCCCCTTGAAACGTGACTGTGAAAGTGTCGTGGGAATTGATAGGGTATCAAAAATACCTCTAGTGCTCAGAGTGGGCTCTTCTTACTTACTGCGTGTTCTGGGGCTTTTTGATTTGTTTTGTGCTATAAGATGACCAGAAACCTCAAGGGCATACTCAAGCCAGAATGTACATTCTCTTGGCATCTTAAACTTTGGTGCCACCACTGGAATTGATTCTTAGTTGTTTTAGCATTTCCCCGCTCCCTTCCCGTATGTAAAAGGATTTACACAGGCAGCCTACAGCCCGGTGGTGCAAAATCCCCCGCGAGAGAGGAGCAACACAGGACGGGCTTGGCGCGATGGCTGCCGCCTGGCAGCGGTTAGTCCTGGCTTTGCTGAGCGAGGGACCTGCTGGGTGTGAGGCTGAAAGGGACCCTGACCTTTCATCAGCCTATTTGTAAACATTGCTAAAAGGCGGGAGAGAAAGTGTCAGCCCCTATTAGTTACTCCATCAAATGTGGGTTTTTTTTCAGGTTTTGTTGAGATGGATTTTGTTAGTGTTTGTCCCCTCTTGAAATTTGTTCAGCCGGAGCCTGTGGCGCAGGTTGGAAGTACATCATTTACTCTAGCTTCAAAAATAGCAACTGAACTTACGTTTGTTTGAGTCTGGTTGTTCTCTGGCTTTTCTAAGTTCCTGGGCTGACTTTTGAAAGTACAGAAAAGTTCCAGCTCTCCCTCTGTGTACACAGTGATGCATGAGACCTTAGCTGTCTGGTCCAAATGACTGTGCAGGTTAATGATTGTCAGGAAAACTGGGTCTTGGTGTGAAAGGTTAGTTAGAAGTATTCACTAAGCTCAGTTCCATCTCTCTTATGGTCCTGCTGTGAAAAACTACTGTAAATGTTGTGGATTGCCTCGTTAGCGGGGGTCTTTTGTGAGTAGGGCAGAGCTCAGCCGTGCTCTTGCTCGTCTTAAGGAGCAGTAACCTGTGCCCTGAGTAGGACGGCTAGAGAGCCGGCATCGCCTTGGCTGCTGGGTGCGGGCTTAGTCCTGCACGAAAATCAGTCCAGGATTAGATGAGCTTGGAACCAACTGTGGTGGTGTGGTGTGGTATGGTCTGCACTCATTACGAAAGGGTTGTGTCTCAAATCCTTGCCTGTGTCGCGATTAGCTTTGCTCAAACGATTCTTGAGGCTTTAATTTGGTGCAGAAATGACTGTTGTTAATATCTCTGTCTTGCTCAGCCAAGACTAGATCTTTCTTTCTAGCAAATTGTATTTTAGGGGATGGGAGTTAGAGATTTATTTTGCCTACTGAGCAGTGTTTCGGTGGAAGCTGTAAGAATATCTTTGCTGTATTTAAAATAAGTTTCTTTATAGTTTCAAAACCTCCTCCCTGTGCTTTTTTTAATACCTTTACCATCTAATTCTTATCTTGAGTTGATGTTGGAAATGCTGAATTTGCTCTTCTGGACTGGGCCCAGTGAGCTGTTAGTCTCCTGACCTCAAAAAGGTGACTCAGAAGTTAAGTGAAAACAATTATTAAGCAGCCCTTTGTTGCCGCTGAAGGAGTTATCTTATTTAGTGGATTTTTAGTTAGAGACAGTTTGTAGTCTGATGTTGGGGCTTTATATCCTAGCTAATAAAACCAAGTGTTCTCATTACACAGATTTCACAGAGAATAGATTGAAAGCTGGAAGTAGTTTGTAGGCAGTGTTTTTGCATGCTTAGTTTATGCAGTAAGCTGCTCTTGAAACGTACATATTTCATACCTTTGAATTAATTTAAAAAACATTTTTACTATATATTTTGCACCCTTCTTCCCCTTCCCTGGTAGTATGTGTTTTTACGCAATGTGGTTTTATGGGCGTTATTGTCTTCAAACACAGAGGATGAAGAGTTAATTATTCACTTTTCCTAGGAAGTGGAAACTTGTACACATCTGAACCTTGTTTAAACATTTAATTCCACGTTACTAGAATTCCCTTGCCCCACAGTTTTCGATGTGGGCTCCAGCAATGGCATGGAGTTAAAATATGCCTAGGAATTGTATGGTCAGCAGTTAAGTCCCTAATGAGAGCCAAGCAGCCTAAATCCACCTTGGGAAACAATGGAGGTTGAAGGAGGAATTTTGGTTAAAACTCAAGGCTTTGTTAGGGGATCAAAATTTAATTAAAAATAATCTTCCCTTGGCGTGTTCTCTGCACAGCAGCCTTCCTCCCCCCCCCGACTCCTCACCTACAGGTTGTCTGTGTAGAAGAGAGGCTACTTTTGGGCAGTGGGGTTTTGGTGGTGGTTTTTTCCTGTGTACTTTCTTGTGTGTTCAGAAGAACCTCCAAGTGTGCTATCCTACTTGACCTCTCAGCTGAAGCAAGTATAGTTACTTCCTTTTGTATAGTCAAATTCAGTTTAAGGCTTAATTTTGTGCCCGCTTTGTCAAACTTCAGTTAATTAGCTTGCCTCTGACATACTCCAAAAAGGTAAGCGAATCCAGGGGAAGTTAAGCTCTGTGAGCATCTCCTGGTGTGTTGCAGAGGTCTGTCGTTCTGTTCTTCGCTGGTGGGCAGATGGACCTTTGTGCTCTGTTAGTGGCCCCTGAAGCCCGAGCAGATGCTGTCATTGGATCTTTGGGCTTCAAGTTTCTTGCAAGAACTGAATGAAATGGTCTCTTTTTACTGTTCTGCTCCATCCCAGGGGCAGCCTCAGGGATGAACTTCTCTGGCTTTCCACACATGCTGTGGCACAGTTGCAGGGATCAGACCTTCTCTGGATCGACCACCATGTCCTCTTGGGTGGTTTGGTCATGGGTTTCTTTGCCAGTTGTATCCATAGCCTTCCTCATTTGCTGGGATGAGATGATGGTTTCTCCTCTTCCAAGGAGTTTGTAAGCTGTTCTTAAAGAAAGGCTGACAGACCCAAAAAAAAAAGACCTGCAGGGAATGCCTGGTGGATCAGAGTGGGCCAGTGTACGCTGTAGTTAGGCAGCTAACCTGAGTATCTACCAGAGATCTTGAACCAGCACCTGCAGACAGGACAGTGGGATCCACCTTTTTCAGGCATGGGAAAAAGTGTTGTCTGGACCTTGATTAGCGATGGTGTCTCTTCCCAGGCAGAAGTACCCAAACTGAACCTGCCTTTGCTCCTCTTCCAGACAACATCTGCGAACAGGATGAGAAAACTGTTTGACTCTGTGAAATGGGGACTCAAAGCTATTATGTTGAAGAGAAATCCTTGCCAATTTTTCTTCCTAGAAGGGCAGTGATGCACTGCAAATACGGGGTACTTCACCTGGCAGAAGGGATCTAGTGCCTCTCTTCGTTCCTGTCTCCCATCCACTGAGTTTTCAAAGGACATCCAGTGAATTTTTTTTCTTTTCTTTTATTTAAGTCCAAACTGCAGTTAAGCCCAGCTAATGTTTTTTGGTAGCTTTGGGCTCCATGACTTCAGTATACTAAAATCAATCTATCTGAGAAATAGCCTGCATGTACTTGTGTGACTTAGATGCAGTCTGTGCTGTTGCAGCTGTGGTGTTGTCGATATGTGAATTGTATCAAAGGAGGACTCTGACTTCTGCTGAAAGGTTGCAGTTAGTCCCCGAAGAGTGAAATGATACCATAAAGAGTGAGTAGAGCTTGTGCAGGGCCAGGATTCTCGGGGAGAGCCACTGCTGTCTTGCTCTGCTCCTACTGAAACAGAACTTCTACCGGCTGCAGCAGGAGCTGTGTCGGTGCTGCAGACCCTGTGTGCGCAGGCTGCTCTTCCTCAGAAACAGGAGTGTGTGAGGTTGGTGTAGGAACACGTAGTTATCTGGTGCCTACCTACAGGTGTAATGGTGACTGCAGGAGGCTGGAGGTAAATCTCAACATTATCTGTTGTGAAACAGCAGCTCTGTTGTAATTTTGATGTGCAACTCAGCTTTTTTTTTTTTTTCCCCCCAGCAAATTATCTCATACACAGTCATCCACAAGTTTTCTTTAAGGAATGTAGGAGATGAGAAGACTTGGTGTTAAATGAAACTGGAAATGACCTTAATGAAATAATGCAGTGTTTTATCTTCTTTTTTTCAGTTTAGAGTTTCTATACCTTGGAGGAAATTTCATTACTGAGATTCCACCTGAATTAGCAAACCTGCCTTCTCTAAGCTATCTAGTTCTGTGTGACAACAAGATCCAGAGCATTCCACCTCAGCTGGCACAGTGAGTATTTACTGTCATCAGCCACCAGCTGTAATTAACTCTTTGAACTTTTTCTCTTGTGTGTGTGGATAAAAGCGGCTGGGAGGACCTATTTGTCCTTCAGTTTGTTCATATGTGACTAGACTTGAACAAGAAGATCCTTAGCATGGTGTACTGCAGGCAGGCCATGAATATATAATGTGGAAATCTCAATCAAAGGGTTATGGAAAAAAAAAGTGTCACCAAGTATATGCTTTAAGGTGAATTAATAGATTTATACAAGGAGCCCTGAGAAGTACCTGGGCAACTCGGAAAAGATAAACTGCCATACTACCATATTCTTAGTGATGAATGCTTGGTCTGTTTTGTCCTTCAACCACAGCCTTTTTGTGTGTGCTCTTGTGTTGTACCATCGCCTGTGTTCCCTTGGCATTTCTTACTCTAGGATCTCGGAATGTTTTACTGTTCATTAAATCCTACAGCACAGCTCTAGAGGATAAGTTACTTCTTTATCTGTTTCATAATGGAGGAAAGAGGACACTGCAAACTCTGTACGGGTAGCCTAAGATGGGAAGTGAAGAGTTCAGTGTGTAGCTGTAACCCCAAAAGCAATTGAATGGCAGCACAAAGTTTTCTGAGTTGGAATTTGATGGTGTAGTGGGATCATTCTTGATGTACAACGTTCAGTTGTCTTGTAACTTATGCTGGTTTGAGAGCATCCCTGGGTGCTGTGCTGGAGCACTGCTTTGAGCTTCCTGAGAGAGAACACCTCCTCCAAAAGCCAAAAAACTGCTTGTCACCCATGCCAATGCTAGCCTGGCCTGACCTTGCTTAGCTTTTGAGATCTGGTAGTATCACAGTGCAAGGTGATGCAGCTGCAAGCAATGAAAACATGGGGGTTTCCAGGGTTGGCTGCCCACCAGCAATCATCTTTATTGCATGAGTGAAAGCAGGTGTCTTACTCAAAGTATTGTGTGGAATCATTCTCAATGCATGTAGCGGGTATGAGGAAACGTTATCTCCCCTGAAAGCACTTACTTTTGTTCTGTGCTACCTTTTCTGGGGTGCATGTGTGGGGAATACTGAGAGGGACAGCAGTGTATTTAAGACTGTGTTTCTTTAACAGGCATTCTGGAGGTGAGCCAGGTTTTCTAGGGCAATGTGTGTGCTGGAGTAACAGCAGCTCCTTTAGCATGAATTTATGCTTTAAAAGGAAAAAAAAGCCAAAGAAAAAGAAATTGGTGGGAAAGGGGAGAGTAATCAGGTCTGTCTAATGCAGTTGTGGAATGATTCTGCTTGCACATCTTGACTGGGTTTCCATCTCCATCCTCAGGCTGCATTCCCTGCGTTCCCTTAGCCTGCACAATAACCTGCTGACTTACCTTCCTCGAGAGATCCTTAACCTGGTTCACCTGGAAGAGCTGAGCTTGCGTGGGAACCCACTGGTGGTTCGGTTTGTGCGTGACTTGACCTACAATCCCCCGAGCCTTCAGGAACTAGCTGGACGCACAATTAAAACTCGCAGTGTTCCCTACGCTCCCTGCGATCTCCCGGAGAATCTTGTCCGGTATCTGAGCTTGGCCAGCAACTGTCCCAATCCTAAATGCGGGGGTAAGTTCACCTTCGCTGCTCTGCTTCCTGCTTTTACCTGATGAGTTTTCTTCCCCCCTGACTTGCCATGACTTCAGTAGCTCAGTCAGGTTCGATGTGTTGTTGCATCCAAATTCTAGCTGTGTTTCATTGGCTCCAGGCCTCCTGCAAACTTGTCTTTAAGGAACCTCGTTCGCTTAGGAACAATGTTCGAAGCTGTAGTGGTGGTTTTACTGTATTTACGTGGCACTGTAAGACAGTGTTTCTGTTGGAGTCTTGGCTGCTCATCCCAGCACTCCGCTATGCTTTTATGGTCTGAAGTTTCTGATTCGTCTGCCCCAAAGTAGCTCGAACTAAGTAACAGACAGGAGAACTTTTGCAAGCGCTATTGCTGAACAGCAAGCTTCATTTCTGGGTGGAGAAGAGGAGAGAGGCTGTAGTGCTTGGCAGTTACCAAGAGCAACTTGTTTAGCTCTTGCTTGGGACCACTTGTGTGTTGTTCCTGGAAGGAGAGGACTTCATAGAAAAACCTGGAATGCTTGCCTTAATTTGGCTTAATGCTTAATCTTTATCCAGAGTAAATGATCTGTGCATTTAGCCTTTAGAAGGTTAAGGAAAAAAATCATTAATTAGTATCTACCCTGCAGTCATAATCCGGGCTGTTATCTTATCTCCTTACAGGACATATCAAAGCATGCTCCATAAGCAAAAACGGAAGGGCTGTGTCCTGGTTTTAGCTGAGATAGAATTAATTTTCTTCCTAGTAGCTGGTACAGTGCTGTGTTTTGGATTTAGTATGAGAATAATATTGATAACACGCTGATGTTTTAGTTGCTGCTAAGTAGCACTTGCCCTAAGTTAAGGATTTTTAAGTCCCGCATGCTCTGCGAGCGAGGAGGTACTCAAGAAACTGGGAGGGAGCACAGCCAGGACAGCTGACCCAAACCAGCCAAAGGGATATTCCATACCATAGAGCGTCATGGCCAGTACAGAAACTGGGGGAGCTGGCTGGGAGGGGCAGATCACTGCTTGGGGACGGGCTGGGCATCGGTCAGCGGGTGGTGAGCAATTGTATTGGGCATCACTTGTTTTTCTTGGGTTTTACTACTCTCTCTCTCTCTTTGTTATCTCCCTTTTCCTTACTATCATAATTATTATCTTACTTTATTTCAATTATTAAACTGCTCTTATCTCAAGCCACAGGTTTTACCTTTTTCCTATTCTCCTCCCATCCCACTGGGGCGAGGCGGAGGAGCGAGTGAGCAGCTGCCTGGTACTTGGTTGCCGGCTGGAGTTAAACCACGGCAGGCTGAGACTTGTGTTGGAACGGAAAGAAATGTTTCCTTTTTTAGAGTTTTGCACAGCTTGGATAGCAGTGGATTGGTTTTGCTCTTTTTCACTTTTCCGTATGAACTAGCACAGTACTGTGGCGTTGCTCTAGCACTGCAGGAGAAAAGCTTACTCCAGAGCAGCTAGGACTTAAAACACCGCTGGAAACTTCTGAAAATGTCAGTGTTTAAAATCACTTGCTGTGACAGGAAGAAAATGTAATTGTGTGTTACAGCAACACTGTTGCCATGGAAAGTAGCATCCAAACTCAGCATGGTGACTTCACTCAAGCAGAAGAAAAGTAGAGCTATGAAGGTCTATTTGGGAATGTGTTTTTGCTAGCTGGTAGAAGAGGTTTTACAAGTTTGAAAATAGAGTGGATGAATTAATTTGACATTTAAGAAGTTTGCAAATTCCTAGCCTGAGATTTCTCCCTAATGGTTAGAAAAAAATTGCCAAGTTCTTTGGAACTAGCTCCCCTCTTTCCGTGTAGAGTGTGCCGTTCTGAATCACCTACCAAATACACTTTTACAGGATTTTTTTTTTTTTAACTAAGAAAAGAAATTTCATGTTTCCATAGGTGTCCTGGTCCCTTCTCTTCCTCCAGTATCCCTTGTCCTTGTACTGGTGCTGTGTCATTTAAATCCTAATTTGAGGCATATGTACCAGATGCAACAACCTTGCAGAGCTTACAGATTTCTCCACACAGGGTCTCATATGTTGTTACTGTTCCCTCTGCCCTTACAGGTGTCTACTTTGACAGCTGCGTCAGACAAATCAAGTTCGTTGACTTCTGTGGGAAGTATCGCCTCCCGCTGATGCACTACCTGTGCTCCCCAGAGTGCTCCTCTCCCTGCAGCTCTGCCTCCCAGAGCTCTACTTCCCAGAGCGAGTCTGACTCTGAGGATGAAGCCAGCGTCGCTGCGCGGAGGATGCAGAAAGTCCTTCTGGGATAACAGGGAGCGAGAGGGGAAGGCCGGCAGGAAAATGTGTTTGAAAAGCAATAATGGAACGGCAAAGCATGAGCCTCTGGCCTGAAGGGCTCACAAGAAACTGTCCTCAAGTCCATTTAAGGGGCAGAACATCTTAGCAAGCCTAGACTTGTTTGATGCAGTGCTACTTAGGAGAACTAACTCAGTGGCATACTGCCTGTAGGGTGCCTGGGGTTGTTAGAAACATCTCCTGTCTGGGAGACACCCCCCCCACCTCGTATGGGCTGAGGAGAGGGATTTGTTCTCACTGGCGGATTGAGAAGGGTTTTAATATGTGACACTTCACTGGACTTCAGTCGTCCTGCAGAGCAAAGGAGGCTGTCCAGATCTTTTAACACTGTGGTAAATCAGAAACAGGCTAATGATGCCATGTGAGTATGTTTGGACCCCAATGTTTTATATAGCATTTTGATTCTTTGCTGTCTACTTTGATCTCAGTTACAGATTTTACACCCATCCACTAAAAATGGGAGTTGGGGTTTGTGGTTTTTGTTTGGTTTTTTTTTTTAGTTCAGGAGTACATTTTTCCTAACTCTGGTGACTCTTCCTTTGCCTAGAGGTGTAGAGTCTCTGTGTTGTTATGTACGTTACAGCCATCGTAGAACTGAGCCACCTTTTTTCTCCCTTGTTACTGTTTCCTCCTAACTGTATTCATTATTTTTCCTCCCTCTGCTTCTTCCCATTACACCTGGAGTGTCGCTGTCTTTATGGTGCCTTCAGAAAACGGACAAGTTTTTCTATTGAGACTTGGTATTACTTCAGACTTGTGGCCGTACATGCCTGTGCAAGGGACCAGATGTGATGTTCTGTATCATGTTTTTGAGTCTCAGCTTACTGGAGCAAATTTGCTTTTATATCTGTGAATTGCAGGAAGGGTCTTGATTGACATTTCTTGTTTCTAAACATCCATGTTCCCCTGCTGCAGTTAGCTCTGCTATGCTTGGTACAGAGTGACTTTCCATCTTTAAGGTCATCTGCTTAAAGCAGGCAGCAGCTTAATGAATTGGAAGTAGTGAGAGAAGTGCTATGGAGAATGTCTTTTTTTTTCCTTATTCGTAACATGAGAGGAAAAGCCGCTAGGGAGGCTAAGGCACGTTGTCTGAGCATCTTGCACGAGCTGGTTTTGAAACCTCTTCCTTATTTATTTGTTTGCATTTGCTCTTGTTATAATAGCTTTGGCAGCCTGTTGGTTGTTCAAATAACACATTCAGTTATCTTAAATTATGTTTAAAGGAAAGCTGCAGGAAATAGCTCAGAATTTTTAAGTATCAAGAAATAGCTTATAAAATTAATATTATAAATTGACAAGTATCTGTAAATCTACTTTATGGGGCTGTTGTGTTTTGATCAGTGAGAGCTGCCCCTTTACTAATATTTCATGGCAGACAGTCGTTTTGATGCAGTTTCAGATAGAGCGAATCCAACTGTGCTTTTGAATGCATGAGCAGAGCGACTACATTGTGTTAAGAAGCTAAATGAACAAGAAAAACTTTTCTTAACCCACTTTGGCCCTACAGGGGAAATTAAAAACCTCTGCTGCTCTCCTGCATTCAGAAAACGCACGTACATATTTGAATATCTTATGGCAGCTCTGTGTTAATGGTCCTGTTTAATTATATTTGACACTTTATATATTAAAGCACTTTGATAATTCTACTCTTTGTAAGTAGCTTTAGTGATTTTTTTTTTTTTTTTTTTTTTAATTAGACTACAATTTTTCCTTTAATGTGACCTGAAGAACAAGGTCTGTGAAACTTTGTACATTCCAGTCTGTCTCGGCATGCAGGTTGAACTTCTTATCTTGCATTTCCTTGACAGCACTGCTCATTTCCCTGGTTTCCTTTGGAGAGAACTGGAATTTTAAAGAAACGGTCTAGTTGTAAAATAGCACCCTGTCTGTTATTAATCATTGCAACTTAGTCCGAAGATTCCCCACACGCACAGATCCACAAGGAACTAAATTGCACGTGCTCTGTGCCTTTCCAAATAATTTTTTTAAAGTGTATTTTTAAGACGCCATAAGGTATATGTGCAAAGCAACTGGATGTCACTTTAGCAAATTCTGTAAGGTTTGCTTGGGAAGAAGAACCTACAGATTTTGAGAGAAACCAACTGCATGCTGTTAGTTAAATTGGGATCAGTGAGTGGCCTGTGCTTTGTTCTTCATCTCCTCTTTCAGATGCTTCTTCCTGTCCCAAGTGAATATCGTCATACCAGTGCTGAAGGACAGTAAACTGATTGCAGAGCCACGATTTTAAATTGGCTGCTGGTATAACAGCAGTGAGCAACTGAATGATCTAGAGCTTGGCTCTTCAGCCAGTGAAAGTGAGCCACACAACTTGAGATCTCAAGACCTTTTGAGCTCAGGGCCATGAGGTACCACCTTCCATTCTTCTCTTTAGCAGCAGCTGTCTTGGTCATGCATTTTTTCACTTCACAAAGTTAGATTTCACCACAGTTCCTGTTTGCACATTAGCACCGGTGTGTGACAGGTTAAGACCAGTGGTGGCTGGTTCTAATTTAGCTTGATCCTTAACTGCATTTTCTTTCCTAACTGCACAGGCATCCCATTTCTGCCCCAATTCTAATAGAGCTAATAGGCTAATCTTTTTTTCACAGCTTCTTCACTGTAGCAAGATCAAAACTTGACAGCTTATGCAGTTGATATCTCTATGCATTTTTAGACTTGGTAAAATATCTTGTCTCTTAAAAATTTATGTATATTCCTGAATATAGCTGCCTAGTTTTCTTTTTGCTGCTGGGCTTTAAAGTGCAATTCAAGTAAATCAGAATTTAAAACAATCAAGGACTTGTAAGAGAAACAAATGGTTGGTTGGTTGGGTTGTTGGGTTTTTTTTCCCCATGGAGGTGCATTTGAGAGGACTAGGGATGCAGGTTTGTACTGTAGTGCCTAACGTACTGAGCCCCCGGGAGTCAAGTTTTTCAGCAATTGTTATCCCCTAAAGACTGGAAAATATACTGGACAATAAAATAGGTAAGACACAACTTGAGAATACACTGATGGATGGTAGGGACTAGTTCTTGCCATCCCCTTCTGAGGGTCCCTGAGAAGCAGACAGTGGTTTTGCCAGCATTATTGCTCTTTTTGTCAGTTTTAAATCATGGATTTCAGTTCCTACCTATGTGTCTTTGAGTGAAGTCTTTAGTCAGTGTTTTGGTATCAGTGCCCTTGTTGCTACAGCTGCCCAGCACGTCTGGCTTTTGAAACAGTTCTTAAGCCAAGACACAAGAGTGTGAAGCAAAGTTGCTCATTCCTTCTTCCCCGCGGGGCCAGGGGCCCTGCCTGCATTCATCCTCTGCCCCGCCATCTCCCTGCCAAGGGGAGCTGCTGGTGCGTTTCTGAATGCAGGTGCCTAATGCGAACAGTGGGATCGTGTTAAAAAGAAGCAAAATATCAATTTGACTGGAAGCAACTTCTACAGTTGCCAATTCTTTTATGTTTCTCTTTCTTGAATAAGAGGTGAGACTTGAGGAAGTCAGTAATGAATATTTAAACATACTCTGAAGTGGCCAGATGCAGTTTTTCATGGGCTTCTGTCCTGGTCATTTTAAGTCTTTGAAATCTTGTGTTGAATTATAATGGGCGTTGGGGGGAGGGAGGGGAGAACCAGCTCCTTTTTGTTCCTTACTCTTGTTGGCAATAATGAATGGAAGGAATTTAATCCAATGAAAGTAATGAAACTTAATCCCTGCAATGCGTCTTTGTTACCCTGTTCAAAGAACTATTTTAGTGCATCTTATTCACACCATGCCCTCCCTCCCTCCCCAGCTGAAGATACTTCAAATAGACTACTTCAGAGTGCACACTAATACAGCAGTAACTCTGTCTTGGAAATCTTTCTATCGATTATTTCATTTGCCTGCCTGACTAGAGGATTGATCTTTTACTGACCTGAACATTGAGGGTAGAAAGGGTTCTCATCCAACCCTCTTGTTGAATTTTTATCATGAGTATTTGTTTTAGGAAGTCTTACAAGTGCCTTATGTTTTTAAAAGTGTATTTTGCTAGAAATGTACGAATGTCGAGTATCTCTAACAGTATTTCATTATGAGCTGTAAAACAAATTGCAAACACTAAACCAAAAATGTTATTTCTACAGTTGTCTGTCTGTTATTTACCAGCGTCTTGATTCTGGTATTGCTGCAGGCAAAACCCTTGCAGAATTGTAAACATTAAAAGTGGGGCTATACATGGTCAGGGAACAGATGAGATTTGACCTGTGCTGTGTAAAACCAAGAGGGGGTGAGACTTCCAAAGGGACTGCTGAAACTCTTGGCTTTTGGGGCCCACTTGTGACAGACCAGTGTGTGTTACAGGCCAGACCCTCTTTTACTCCTGGTATAGTGTTGCAGAAATCTGCTGTACAGTTGAAAGGTGGAAATAACTCACAGACAAGCTAAATACATGAACAAGAGAAGGCAGTGTGGTGGTGGACTTTTCCAGCAATGTGAAACAACAGTTCTAAACTTCTTGAATTGTTTTCCTCTTAATACGCTAACCCTGAAACCTGTAAATGACTCTTTGAATGTTAATTTTCTGATCATGTTAACTGGCTAATGTGTTCCCATTTCTTGTGTAATCCCATGTTTCCTCCTACATCCTGAAGAGTTCTTGTGATCTATTGCCAAAATGTTTCAGATCCTGCCGTGCAATTACCAGTTGTCAGTGCAGAAATGTGGTGTATTGAAAAATGGGACAGTGGGAAACAATAATTACTTGATATTAACTTCAGCAATTTCAGAGATGCTTCAACTTCATATGTAGTGAAAAACCTCTCAAATTATGCAGCAGCCCTATTTCAAATAACATAAGATACCAAGGAATGCAGTGACCTTGCCTGTAATAACCAGGCTGAGAATATCCTTGCTTCTTTTTGTTAACTAATGTAAATACGTCCTTTTCTGTGCCTTCTTAATACCGTTCTTATATTCAGAAACAAAATCATAGAAGTGCTGGTTCAAAGGAACCTCTGGTGGTCTCTAGTCCAGCCTCTTCATTTAAGCAGGACTATTGCCAGCAGTAGCTCAGGTCGCTGTGGGTTTGTCTAGCTGAGTCTTAGAAACCTCCAAAGATGAAGAGTCCACAATCTCTCTGCCTCCAGTGCCATAATCTCGCCCCAGTGCAGAAGTCTCTCCAAAGGTCCAACGTCTTCCTGACATTAGCTGCCCGTCTTCTGATCTCAAGGAGCAAATCTTGGCTCTGTTTTTAGCACTAATGCAATGAGAAGAGTGTAAATGAAACAGGAGTTATGTAGATGCCTGAGGCAGATGCTCAGAATATGAAATTGACATTTTAGGCTCTTGCAGAATTGCACAGATCTAAGAGGTAGCATTGTGTTGATGCTTTGGAAGTGCCCTTCATAAAGTAGA